TCACATCCCATAATACACTCCTGTCCTCACATCCCATAATACACTCCTGTCCTCACATCCCATAATACACTCCTGTCCTTACATCCTATAATACACTCCTGTCCTCACATCCTCACATCCCATAATACACTCCTGTGTGCTTCCTGTTGCTCCTGCTGTCTGACCTGCCAGGATGGGAAAGGCCCTTCCTATAAGCTCCCACCACCATGAACGCTGCTATGGCAGGACTGGAACCCTCTGAAACTGAGAGCCAAGAGAAATCCTTCCACCTTTAAGTTGTCCCTGTTAGGTACTTGGGGCAAGACTTTGCTTTTCTCCACAGCCCACACAAGCTGCTACCATACTCTGCATTTTGTTTACTGTCCATGTCCCTCCCCAAGGATAAGCTGCACAAAGCAGAGACTCTTCTGCACACGTGACTCAGTGTACCCCATGCCTGCAACTTAAGGGGCCCTTAAGATCCTGTGGAATGAACAAGTAACAGGAGTGGGGTGTAGCAGGCAGCCTAGGAGACCATAACTAGTGACTAAGGTACCAGCTATTTCCCAGCCAAAGGATCTATCTGTTCAGAAAACACTTGCCAAGGGCTAGGGAGATAACTCCATGGGTAACGTGCTTGCCTGACAAGCAGACGACCTGAATTCAATTCCCAGAACCCATGTAAAAACGGTGAGCATGGGGTCATGTCCCTGTAATCCTGGCACTGAGGAAATGGAAACTGGAGGGCTTCTGGGACTCTCTGGATGGCCAGGCGAGCCTTGGAAAGTTCCAGGTCCAATCATAAGGTGGAACTGGGTGTAATACGCACAGGTTTAGTCCCGAAACTCTAGAGACTAAGGCAGGCAGAACTCTGCAAATTCAAGGCCAGCCTGATCTACGAAGTGATAGCCTCATCTCAATAAGACAGCACCTGAAGAACAAAGACATTTTACCTATCCTCTGTCTTTCACATGAGTGCGTGCGTGTGTGTGCGAGCGCATGCACGCACACCATGTCCCAGGTGGGACTGCCTTCTAAAATGTGTTCCACTGGCTACTTGCTTCTTTTATGGTGGAGAAATGATCAATTAAAACTTTTACAAGACATCCATTCTTTAAAAAGGCAGAAAATAGACTTTATTCCAAAAGACCTTTTCAAACACTGTTCTCAAAGGAAAAGACAAGCTTTCTTGAAAACAAGTATTTTCTCAGTTTCTGAGGCTTCCTACACCAAGGCCAGCCCTTCAGCCAAGATTCCACAGCCCTCAGCCCACAAGCATTTGGCCTGCAGATTCTTTCTTCAGGGGCTGCTGGGCTGTTCAAAGCCAGGCAGAGAGGAAGTTCCAAGGCTGGGATACTGTAGACCTAAGCGGGGAGGCTGGCTCCCACTGGCCGCCCCACGAAGAGTCTCAAGCCACGGCATTCTGGGTTCCTGGACTGTGTCCTTCTGGTAACTTCTGGGGTGACACCTGATCAGAGAGGCCCTAGCTGAGGTCAGCTGGCTCTCTGGCTGAGCAAGGCCCAAGTTTATCCTCTTGTGACAGGGGACCACAAGTTCTTCTGAGGGCTTTGTCATGTCTTTAAACTCCTAATATCAAATGTGTCATGAACAGTGACCTTTCCCTAAGAATAGCGTCTCAGACAAGACACGTCCCCATGTGTTACCTGGAGAAGGGATCTGCCTGGCCACCCAAAGTCTCCATGCCCTGGTACTCCTCAGGAACACGCCAAGCCAACAGTAGCCATCCTGAGCTGAGGTCAGCAGTTAGGAGCCTTATTGGGGAAAGGTCCTTGTCCACAGACTCCTAGTATAATGTCCCCACTGAGGACACAGAGCAAGCATCCTGCTCCACAGAGGCCCTGGCCCTTTCCCTGTACCCTCAGAAGCTCTGCTGGTGGTCACACCCTGCCTCTGGCAAGCTGTTGCTGTCGGTATAGCTCACAGGCTGGGGCCAGCCTGGGACAGGCCCAGAGGGAGGTTCAGATGAATGACTTGGCTAGAGTCACCATGTGATCCACTCCACAAGCCATGTCCACAGGCTCACCGGGCATCGTCACCTGGAAAAGAAGCCATGAACATAGTGAGGGAAGGACAAACAGGTTCTGGAGCCTTGCGGGGGGGTGGGAGGGGGGTGGAAATACACAATTCATATGACTCGAGCTAGCCTCCAATTCCCTGTGTAGCTGAGGCTGACCCTGAACTCCTGATCCTCCTGCCTCTACCTCCCAAGTGCTGGGTTTACACACATGTAGTACCACGCCTGGTTTATGTAGTACTGGAGAGACTCTCAGGCTCTGTATGTGTTAGGCAAGCAAACTACCACCTGAACCTCACCCTCAGCCCCTCCTCTTAGTAGGTTCTTTGCCCTCTGTGAGTGTGGCTGTATCCCCTGGAAAGAGGATGCCCACACTAACCCACAGCTCACTAGTATCAGGAAAAGGCCACCCTGCCTCTGCCCAGCAGTGGCATCAGCTCTAGTAGCCACCCTAACAAGGTGGCCCCGGGGAAGGACACAGAGGCTCCTGGTACCTCTGACTGCCTGTGACCACGGTTTCCAGATTCCCTGCCTGGAGGTGGGGTATCCTTTAACCTTCACTGGGGGTCACCAAGTACTTCCCAAGAGTGCAGGAAAGGCCTCCGCCTGGTGGATCTACTCCAGGAACAGGGCCACAGAGCTACACTGGGCCTTCTGCGGCTGGTCCCTTCAATCCTCATTATTCTGTTTTTGGGTTTTTTTTGTTTTTGTTTTTTCGAGACAGGGTTTCTCTGTGTAGCCCTGGCTATCCTGGAACTCACTCTGTAGACCAGGCTGGCCTCGAACTCAGAGATCGGCCTGCCTCTGCCTCCCAAGTGCTGGGATTAAAGGCGTGTGCCACCACCGCCCAGCAATCCTCATTATTCTGTTCTTTAATTTTTATACTGTGTGTGTGTGTGTGTGTGTGTGTGTGTGTGTGTGTGTGTACTTGAGGTCAGAGGACAACCTTCAGGAGTTGGTTCCTCTCTTTACCTTGTGGATATTGTACATTAGATTCAGGTAGCAGTAAGCTTGGTGTCAAGTGCCTCTACCCAGTGGGCCTCACAAACTCTTAACAAATTTTTTTTCCTTTCCATGTTTTGTATGTGGTGTGTATGTAGAAATGTACTGTGTGCGATATGTGTGTGTGGAATGCAGTGTGTATGGTATGGAGGGAATGGAGTGTGTGGTGAATGTGTATGGAATGTACTGTATATGGTGTGTATGCTGGCTAGGTTTAGGTCAACTACACACACACACACACACACACAGAGACAGATAGAGCAAGCAAGCCAAGCAAGCCGTGGGAAGCAAGCCAGTCAGCAGCACCCTTCCGTGTCCTCTGCATCAGCTCCTGCCTCCAAGTTCCTGCCCTGCTTGAGATCCTGTCCTGACTTCCTTTGGTGATGAACAGTGATGTGGAAGTGTGAGCTGAATGAACCCTTTCCTCCCCAGTGCTTTGGTCACGGTGTTTCATCACAGCAGTACTGACCCTAACTGAGACAGCACATGGAGAATGTACTATGTGTGGTGTGTGTATAGTGTTGTGTGTGTCCATGTATGTGTGGAGGGGGTATGTATGTGTAGTGTGTACCGAATGTAGTATGTTTATGTCTGTGCAGTATGTGTAGGGATTGTGTAGTATGGTGTGTATGTCTGTGTGTGTGTGTGTGTGTGTGTGTGTGTGTGTAGTATATGTAGAGTGTGTGGAAAATGCTATGTGGTATGTATGTGTGCTGTGTGCTGTGCAGGGTATGTGTGTGTATATGTGTGTGTGCGTGTGAGTGTGTGTGTGGTACATGTAGAGTGTGTGGAAAATGCTATGTGCTATGTATGTGTGCTGTGTGCTGTGCAGGGTGTGTGTGCTGAATGTGGGGGTGTATGTGGTATGTATGTGTGCTGTGCAGGGTGTGTGTGCTGAATGTGGGGGTGGGGGTGGAAACCAGTGGCTGGTGTCAGGCATCTTCCTCTGTCACTCTTCACTCTGGTCTTTGAGACAAGGTCTCTCACTGAACCTAGAGAATATGGCTTCAGCTAGACGGGCAGACAGCAAGCGCCAGAGAGCTGGCTGCTTCCACTCCTATGGACACTGAGTTAAGACCGCACTGTGTCCACCCCTGACTGCACCACTGAGCAGAGCTTTGGGGAACCGAACTCATGCTCACACAGCAAGCACTTTACCCATGAGCCATCGCCTCAGCCCGTTCTGGTTTGTTTGCTTTAGAGACAGGATGTCACTATGTAACCCTGGCTGGCCTCTGCCTCCTGAGTGCTGGGATTAAAGGTGTCACCATACACTGCACCATGTTAGCTTTTCAGACATGGGCCGGCCTGCAACTTGCAGCATCCTCCTGTCTCAGCTTCCTGCGAGCTGAGGTGCACAGCACCATGGCCACTCTCTTGTTTGTCCCTGTTACTGTTATCATGAACAAGCAATGCTATACTATAAAAGGACACTCAGTGACAAACAGCGGCCACGGCTGGGGATGTGGCTCCCTGGATAGAGGGCGTCCCCAGCAGGCGTGAGGCCCAGGGTTCAACCTCCAGCCCTCATAAATCAGGCATGGTGGTTCATGCCTCTCATCCTATCACTCAGGTGACGGTGGGAAGGGAGGAAAGGGGCGCAGGTTGAAGCAGAAGGGCAGAAGTTCCTCAGCCACGCAATGAGTTGAGGCTAGCCTGGGCTACATGACTCCCTGTCCAAATAAATAAACAACCAAGTATTAAGAACCTCTTAATAATAACCCCATCATACTATGCCCTGCACCCAAATGACAAGTACTTAAACACATCTCGTGCCCTCACCAGCTCGGAATGCAGAAGGGCACAGGCAAGCCCTGTGCCTCCCTAGGCACACTGCATGACTTGGCCTTCAGACCCTCACCCAGCTGTGGATTCGGGATCAGCTGGCCAGGACCCTATTCACCCACCCTTCCTGTGTCTGCCTGGGCAATTTCCCGAGTTCAGGACGAAATGAACGCCTGCAACAGGTGGCCTGGCCTGAAAGCACGGAAGCGGCAGATGCTGACCGTGGGGCTTCAACTCTATTAGGGGCTGCTAGCGACGACAGCAAATGAAGGCAGGAACCACGCCACGCTGTCTCGCTGCCTCCCCAAACAAAACCGCCTTGGCAAAAGCTGCCACACAGACCACTGAGCAAACAGAAGCAGGCCCCAGGTGACAGAGGTGCCCTAGGCTGGCCCCAGAACAGCAGTGGCCAGCTGCCCCATGGTGACCTAGCCAGGTGGGCTCTTAGCAACCTCCAAGGCCGCTTGAGATCATCTATTTACCTTCTCTTGCCTTGTCGGGTCATCTGCAGCCAGCCCACTGCACTTACGCACCTAGGTGCTCTTCCCCAGATGCTCCGGCCATTAGAGCCCACACACAGGAAGCTGTTTGTTTTGTGCCTGCTGGCCAGGACCAACAGCAAGCAAGGATCTCTGGGAACAGAGGTGGCTACTGAGACTCCAGTGCCCCCTGGCGTCTCTTTCAGGTCTCCAAAATGACTCCACAATAAACCTGTCTCTGGTCATGTGGGGATGTTGGTCTCTGGGTCGCATGTAGCCCAGGCTGACCTCAAAACTCCCTTTCTATCTGAGGGTGACCTTGAACTTCTGATCCTCCTGCCTCCACCTCTTCTCCTCAATTCCTGAGCATCGTGTGCCCCATCACATCTGGTTTATGTGGTGCTAGGGAGCTAATCCAGGGCTTCTTTCATGCTAAGGAGAGAGAGAATGAATCTCACTATTAACCCAGGTTCACCTAATCCTCCTGCCTCAGCCTTCCAAGTGACTAGGACTGCAGGTGTGCACCACCATGCACAACAGTGAAAAGGTGGTGGGGGTGAACCTAGCTTCACCTGTGACTTCTCTGTGTGACCTCACAGTATCCACCTCAGGGCTCACAGCTCACCCTGTACAAGGGCTGTGGCACGGGAACCCACACCAAGTGTGCCCCGAAGGCCCATCTGTTAAGAGCTTGGTCCCCAGCGTGGTGCTACTGGAAAGTGGCAGCAATCTTCAGGGGTGGCGCCTGCTGAGAGGATGTTAGGCACAGGTGATGCCTTAGAGGATCCACTGCTGTGCTCAAACACCATGACCATAAGCAGCTGGGGAGGGAAGGGTTCACTAGCCTCATGCTTCCATGGTGATCCACTGCTGAGGGAGGTCAGTCAAGGCAGGAGGGGATGCAGACGCTGTGGAGGATGCTATTCACTGACTTGCACTTGCGGCCTGCTCACTCTGCTTCCCTCTGGCCCCTATGCTCACTCCACATATGGACCACCAGTCCAAGTATGACATTACCCACAGTGAGCTGGGCTCTCCCACACCAGTCACTAATTGTAAAAATGCCCTACAGGTCTGCCTAAACTATCTGATGGAGGCAATTTCTCAACTAAGGTTCCCTCCCCTATCCACCTGACACTGAGCATGCCTCTGAAGGTAATGATGGGACCCCAACCCTTTTCTGTGTCTCTAATTTCCATCCTTGGTGAGTTGAGCAACTTTAAGGTCACATGTCCCCTGCTATGTTGTACTGCCCAGCCTGAGGCTCAAAGCAATGGGGTCACCTGACTCCAGCTAAAACTTCAAAACCAGGAGCCAAATTAAACATTGTTTGTGTTTAATTGGATGACCCCAGGCATTTCGTTACAAGAATGAGAAACTAATTAACCTGTCCAGCCCTCCCCTTCATCCAATCAGATGACAAGAGACAAAGTTGTTGCCTGGCAGGAGCCCTTGGGGCTCACCAAATGTGCAAGAGGGTGGATGACCAAGGTGCTGCCAACACAGTAGTCACTAGGGCTGCCAGGCTCATTCCTCAACAGGAAAACATATCAGGAAGCCCATGGGCAGCAGGGTACCACTCCTCTGGCTGTGTGAGTCAGAGCGGACCGTGCAAGCTGAGACCAGGGGCATCAGGCTCTAGACCCTTACCCAGGGGCTATGCTTTGCCAAGTCACCTCAACAGGTACCAGCTGTGATGGTTAATTCTGATTCAGAACAGCAGGCTTTAGAACCACCTAGGAGACACACCACCTAGGAGACACACCTCCTAGGAGACACACCTCCTAGGCGGGTTTAATTGAGGTGAGAAGACCCATCTGGAATGTGGGCAGTGCCACCCCATGGGTGAATGAGCAGGAGACAGTGATCTGAGCACCAGCATCCATCGCTGCTTCCTGACTGTGGATGCCATGTGACCAGTCGCCTCACGCTCCTGCCAACATGCCTTCCCCTCCATAATGGACTGTACCCTCAGACTGTGAGCCAAAATCAACCCTTCCTCCCGTAAGCTGCTTTTGTCAAAGCAACAGGAAGTAGGTAATCCACCCACAACACTCACAGGTAGGTGGCAGGCCTGTAAAGCACTCCCACTGTTTTCCCAAGCCTGTGTTCAGATAGAAAGGAGGACAAGCAGGAGGGGAGGGAGGGGAGATGGGGGAGGGAGGGAGGAGGAGGGGGTTCTGGCTCCTGCCTTTCTCAGAGCCTAAGCTGTTGTTCACTGCCACTGTTGGCTTGCTCACATCTGCAGCCTGGGGAGGCACACAGGCAAGACCACTGTAGGAACATCACCCATACACAGTATCTCTCTCTAAAAGAAGTCTCCAGCCAGGGGTGGGGACACATGCCTTTAATCTGAGCACTCGAGAGGCAGAGGCAGGTGGATCTCTGGGAGTTTGAGGTCAACCTGGTCTACATAGCAAATTCTAGGTCAGCCAGGGCTACACAGGGAGACCTTGTCAATAGATAGATAGATAGATAGATAGATAAGATAGACAGGTATAGACAGACAGACAGACAGTGTCCACTTTCAACTTAAGACTCCTCAGCCTCCACAAGCATCTTTTAATAAAGGAGCTGAGTGAGTGCAGGAGATGCAGGGACGGGACCAGCAACATGGCTGGCTTGGTAAGGGCATCTGCTGCTTGGCCTGCTGAGCTGAGTTCAATTCCTAGAACCCTCCCAGAACCCACATAAGGATGTAAGGAGAGCATCAACTACACAAAGTTGTCCACACATGCAGCATAATACACATGTGCACTGCCCAAGACCCCCACACATAATAAATAATGAGATCCGTAAGAACCGGAGGGTGGCACATGCCGTTAATCACAGCACTCATGAGGCAGGTGGGTGAATGTCTTATGAGTTCGAGGCCAGCCCAGTCTACAGAGTGAGTTCCAGGGTAGCCAGGGTCACACAGAGAAACCCTGTCCCATAGAAAAGGGGGTTGGGGGAGGGGGTTCATAAGAAACCCTAGCCCACAAGGGCCAGGGCAGCGGTGGGTCTTCGACAAGTAAACCTTTATTCTAGTCAATGATGTGTGTTTTGAGTTTTTCTAAGTGATTTTAAGAAAGATCTTTTCTAAGTCTGGGATGTAGCTCAGTTGGTAGAGTGCTTGCCTAGCACACACAAAGCCCTGGGATTGAATCCCAGCACCACAAAAAGCAAGTAAGCATGGTGGTGCCTATCAGAAGCTGTGCCCAGGAACAGAGGCAGGAAAATGCATCAGCGAGCAAGTGCCAGGCCAGGCACCACTGGCTCCGCACAGGCAGTCACCTGTCAGTGCTCGGAGGCTGGTGCGATGTTTTACAGTGATACCCAGAACAGATACCCAATGCACAAGACTCTGCATTCCATTCTCAGCACATACAAAAGCACCTTAAAAACCAAGCTGGGGCCAGGCAGTGGAGGTGCATGCCTTCGCCTTTAATCCCAGCACTCGAGAGGCAGAGGCAAGTGGATCTCTGTGAGTTCAAGGGTAGCCTGGTCTAAACAAAACACAAAAATGAAAAACAAAACAAACAACAACAAACCCAAGCTGGCTGAGGCAGGCAAATCTCTACACGTTTAAAATTCGCTGGTCTACACAGCAAGTTCCACGCCAGCTAGTGCTACACAGGAGACCTTGTCTCAAACACATAACGGCTCCACCTTCAACAAGCGCTCCTCCAGCCCCCCCACACACACGCAGCTCAACTGGCTTCCTAACTGCGTCTACCACAGCAAGGGAGCAGAGGCTTGGTTTTATTTTTATTTTTCATTTTTAAGGAGTTGAGGATTTAGCTGAGTGGTAGAGCCAGGCCCTGGGTTTGGTCTTAGGCTCCAGGAGAAAAAAAAAAAAAAGTTAGGGGTGGGGGGGGACATAAAAATACCAAAAATAAGCAAGGTAACTAAAGGTTTTATTTATGTCTTAGTACATGTGTGCACATGTGTGTGCCTGTGTATGCGTGCGTGCGTGCGTGCGTTTGTGTGTGTGTGTGTGTGTGTGTGTGTGTGTGTGTGTGTGGGATGGGAGTGCAGTAACTACAGACACAGAAGAGGCCGTAGGATCCCCAAGAGCTGGAGTTACAGGCAGGTGTAAGGCATCCCATGTGGGTGCTGGGAACCCACCCCAGGTCCTCTGGGAGCACAGTGAGCACCCTTGCCTGCGGAGCCTTCTCTTTTCTTAGGGGGATCTTTTCATGTTGTGCTTCCCAGTGTTTACTAAACCAGCTCTCTAAGCTGTTCTGAAAAGAACTTAACTATTCTTTTTTTTTTCTCGTCTTTTTAGACTGGGTCTCATACAGCCCAGGTTGGCTTCCAACTTGCCATTGTAGCCAAGGATGACCTTGAACTTCTGATTCTTCTGCATCACCAGTCTAGTGCTGGGATCAAAGGTTTAGGCCAGCCCACTAAGTTTCTGTGGTGCTGGGGTTATAGCCCAAGGATCCATGCATGCTTGTGTGCAGAGCCGCATCTCCGGCCCACCTGGGAGCTTCCTCCAGGGATTGGAACACTGAGTAGGCCACTCTGTATAACCCTGAATGCAGCAGGTGCCAGGGGTGCACTGACTACACAGAGCAGAAAGGCTGAAGGCCTGCACACATGGAAGCTGGCGCTACACCAGCTCCTGCTCATCACCTCCAGTCTCCCTGGAGCCCATCCTTGACTGTGGCACACAGTGAACAGGAGGTCCTGGATGTTCTCCCATATTTGGGTTTTGCTTCCCAAAGCCAAGCCATCCTTTCAGACACTCTCCACATCCCACCTCTGCATGGTCTTACCCTCCATGGGAAGTACTGGTCTTCCAGGTGTCCAATCCCCAAGCATCCTCGGATGTTCTTGCCCCACACAAACAGCTCACCCTTGTCTGCAAAGGAAGGAAGATGGCTTGGTTGGAGCTACACAAGGAGCAGGCCATCAAGAGGACAGAGGCTACTGCTCAACTCAGCCTCTGAACTACAGCCTCTCAGAGAAAGACACCCTAAAGAATGTCCCCTCCCCAGACCAAGTCCCAGGCCAGGATTTCTGACGGCCAGCCTAGGGAAGCCGAGCCTTTCTGTGCAACAGGTCTAGGGCTCCTGTGCACAGCCCACTCTGCTCACCTTCACGGCCTGCTACACAGCGTCATCTGACCCAGCTCTGCCCGTTCTCACCGACAGTGAGGCAAGACAACCAGTTCTGTTTGGGTTTCAGTGTGTGGGTATGTTCTGTGAGGAGGCACAGAACAACTGGGTTCCTAACCGGGGGTCTGTCTATGTGCTGGGCGCTGGGGACAGGACAGCAAATGAACAAACATGCTTCCTGTCCTCATGAATTTGACCTTGTAGAAGAGCCAGAAAGTAACAAACTAATAGATACAATGATTACACCTTGGAGAAAACTTTACTACTGACCCATTACCCTCACTGGCAAGGTCTAGCCAGCCATTCCTCAACTGAGTCACGCCCCCAGCCCCTCACTGGGGGATTCTAGGCAGGGGCTCTACCACTGAGCCACGCCCCCAGCCCCTCACTG